ATTATATTTAAATATATGAAATATGTTTAAGATTTATATAAATAAATATTTTGACATTTTAAATAATATTTTTATTTATGATAAATAATTTATATTATGATATAAAATTATTTTTAATTATTTATATTTTATTTAAAATTATGAAAATTTCATTTATATATAAATGTGATAAATAAAAATTAAACTAGATATAAAAAATTTATAAGATCTTTTTTGAAATTTATTTCAAAAATTAAAGATTATTTATAAATAAATATGATAAATACAAATTTAATTATATATAAAAAAAAATAAAAATTATTTAAAAAAAGTTGTCATTAAAAAAAATTCTCATGTAAAATAAAAATTCATGTTTAATATAAATTTGTGTTTGTTAATAATTAAATTTTTATTTTACAATTAATGAAGTTAGTATGTATATTTAACCATATAAATATTTGATTAGATATCGTTTTATATTGTTTTATTTACTGATACAATGCGAGACAAGATAAATAGTTATTAAATATTTTTCATTAAAATATATAAAAAAAATTAAAATCAGAAAAAAAGAAAAAAAAAAAAAAAAAGACTGATTGGACTCGTTGAGGATTAGTAGTTTTATAATAAGTTAAGTATATCATTAAATGATAAAGCTATTTGAATAATAAAATACTCCAACAGTTCTTTTTAATTATTAGATTTTTCTAGTAAAATTTTGTTTTAATTATATTCTTATTCTTCACTTAATTTTTTTATTAATTTACACATAACAATTAATATATATTTATTATGAAGAAAATAAAAGATAATATAATAAAAATATTAAAATCATTTTAAAAAATAGAAATTTTTATTTTTATTTTTATTTATATAAAAATAACTTTAAACAACTATTATTACAAAAATAGCGAATAATTAATTATAACGTCAGTGATAACTTGAAAATTATCATCATAAACAAACTACCAGATTAAATCATTGCACAATCTCATAAGATAATCGAACAGAAGGTTGAATAGTCATTTCCAGTCAATACCTATTATAAAATTGATCTGAAATTATATTTTTCTTTTTAATGTCTATCTTAATACTTTCAACCATTAGCTTTTTTTATTATGGAATCGAACACCAGTATTAAGCTAGACTTCCTTTATTAACTCATATATTTTGATTATATTTAAATAAAATTTTATAATTATTAATTAAAAAGGACAAATATCAAATTAAAACTCACATATGCATAACTTAAAATGTTTTTTTGGAGAACTAAATAGTTTATAATTTCATAACATTAACAACATTTATATCGATTATTTTCAAGAGGTAATCGAAAATATTGTAACTGTTATTTAATATAAATAACTTATTTTTAAAAAAAAAGTATTACCAGTGACTTTTTTTCCCTTTCGCTATGTTTTAAGAGGATTCTTTTTTTATCTTTATCCTTTTTAAAGACGATTATAAATTATTATTTCATATAATGAATATTATGTAAGAAAAAAAACGCATATCAAAATAAATGTTATTTTAATTTTTAATATATAATTAATTATTTTTATACTCCTAATAATGTTATTTAGAAAATTGTGGTTGTATTACATTATTTATATTTTATAGTAAATAATTTTTTTTTAAATTATAATTATATATTATTTATTATTATTTTTCTTGTTTTATGAATAAAAAAATCTTATACCACATATAAAATGAAGATAATGGGGGAGCTTGTTTCATGCATTAAAAATTGATTCCTATGAATGTGAAGATGAGAATATAATATTCTCATGTTTATTGTGATTTTTGGAAAATTATTCCAAAGTATTGTTCATTTTTCGAAATGTCTTCCTATCATGTTTCTTGTATTTTTTATTCTTGTGTTGAAGACGAGGGATGTGATATTTGTAACACTGTTATCTCATAACCATGTTATTTGATTAAGCAGTTATTGTTGAGAGTTTTAGGCCTAAGAGACCTTAAGAACACGTTGACCTTCGGAGGATTGGACCAAAGATAAATAAGGAAAGGTACAAAAGGAAAATTTTCACAAAAAAAAATCTCATAATTCAAGTTTTCAAGAACCCTAGAGAGAAATTAGAGAGATAATCCCATTTTCCTTCTCCTTTTATTTCTTCTTCATTTCATTAAGAACCTTCCTTTCCTACCATTTTCTAAGCCAACTTTGCTCAGATGAAGTGAGGATCCAAGTTTTCAAGGTTAAAGCTCAAGCGATTGGAGTATGAAGTCACCTTTTTCTTTTCTTTTCTTTGCGAATTTTCTCTGAGAGGTAAGGGAAGCTGTGATTTCAAATTTGAGTGTGCATTTTGTGGTAATGATAATTAAAATTAGTTGGCTTGAAGGTGTTGAGTGATTAAGTGATGAAGTTGAAAGGGTTTTTGTGACCTTGAAGAGAAGTATAAGAGATTGAATTGATTTTTGTTTGAGAGTTGTTCCATGTTGTTTTTTTATGACTGAACCATGTTGTATATATAGCATATATGTTGTTTATTAGGTTGCATGTTGTTGGGGTTTTGTGTTTTTAGGTGATTTGGACGAAATCGAATTTTATATAAGTGAACATTGATATCGCGTCGAACACACCTTCAATGCGTCAGGCGTGGTTCCAAAGAGAGATCTCCATTTCACTTACGTTGGATGCAGGATTGGTGACGTCGGGCATGAGGAAAGAGACTCGTCTTAGGTTGGAATTATGTCGAGCCTGGATTTAATGGCACTAGGCGTGAGCTTGGCAAAAATCCCTTTGCTTGATTAGGACCATGTTTTACGTTGCCTAAGTTGATTCTTGAGGTTTTATTAAGTTACTCATGTTGTAAAAGTCGTAATATGTTTTACGTTGTTAAGATGTTGTGTTGTAAAGTTGAAAGTTAAAGATTGTATGAGATATATGTTGTTAAAGTTGATGAGTTGAATGTTGAAAGTTGATAAGCCATAGATATGTGGGTTAGATACATATCTTAGCTACGATACATAGAAATTAGAGGATAGTTAAAGATATTTTTGAACTTAATATATCATTGTGTGGATATACATTGCGATGCTCCGAGGGTTCGATTGAAACCCTTCAGTAGGTAAATTGGCCTCTATATGAATAAGTTATTTTTCAATTGCCTCCTTTAGGTTCTATGTGGTATTTGTGTGTGGGCAAAGTCAAGTCACAAATGTATAAAATGACCAATCGAATAAAGTATCAGGTTGGGGACTTAGTCTCTAACTTAGTATCAAAGGGTTGTGATAGTTAAAGGATAGTTAGTGGACTAATCTCATAGGTAGCTTAGTGTTGCAGACTAATGTTGTGATGAACTCATATCCAAACTGTAATATTTTGACATAGTACCA